TCTATGCAGGCACGCCACACCCCAAGCCCCTGCACCCCATTTCTCATGCTTTAGGTGGACGCATCTTCACAGCACGAACCATTGGTCCCTTGGAAGGAGAGTCTGAGGTCTTTGCCTTTTTTGCAGGCGCGTTGCATTTATACTCAGGGAGGGAAAAAATATACCACCAGGCACAAAGGGAGGAGGGGCGGGGAAAGGAAGAAAGGGGTGGGGGGAGAGGGGAGGAGGAAGGGAGGCCAAGGGCTCAGGTGAAATTAAAATTGGAAGTCAGTTCCCGGATCCGATTCTCTCGGTTCATTTTCTTGAGTTTCATTCTGCGATTTTGAAACCAGATTTTGACTTGTCTGTCTGTAAGGTTAATGGTCTTGCTAATCTCCAGGCGGCGCTCTCGCGTCAAATACATATTGAACAGAAATTCCTTCTCCAATTCCAGCGTCTGGTGTTTAGTATAGGGGCACCTCTTCTTCCTTCCGCTCTTTGCTGTCAGCCAATTTCCTGTGGTGTTTTCTGCCTTTATCTCCTCTGTTAAAAATAACATTATTTACATAAGTATCCCTGCAGAGGCAAGCCCTCCAGAATGCTGCAGCCTTTGCCAGCCTGCTGTGGGGCGGCTGATGGAATACAGGGTAGCTGCTCTTGTTCCACAGGCCTGGCTGGTGGGGTCCTCTTGGGCTCAGGGCCCTTAGAATATCTTTGGGGTCTGGATTTACAGGGGAGAAAGACAGGAGGTTCTTGCCTCCAAAGCATTTATTAAATTTAAATTACCCCAATCCACCTTGACCTAGCAGATTCTGAGTACTCCCCACTCCCTCAGCTTGCTGACCCTGGTGGGCACTTGAAACCTCACCAGGCCCTCCCTCCTCTCTGCTCCATTCCAGCTCTGGAAAAATCCAGCCAGAAGGAAAAGCATTTTCCAGGCCCCAGACTGGGTGGCAGAGTCCATCCTGCTGGCTAGAGCAATTCCCAGAGAGCTCTGACCCCTTTCAACTCAGTGGAGGGATGGCGCCCCATTCTCTGCAGCCAGTGGCCATTGCAGCTGTCCCATACCAGACCTCTGGTCCCTGCTCCCACCTGAAGTGCCACAGAATGACACTGTCCCATTTGATCTCCCATTGCCAGCGCTTCCTCTCCTGGCCATTTCCCCCGGGTGTCAACCGCTGAGGCCAGGGAACTTGTACAGGCAGCAGAGGTCAGGGGCAACAGTTCTGGGGCATGCTGAGAGGTCCTCGGACAACAGCCCTGGCCATAGGACCTAAGGTCAAGGGAGAGAGATATCCTGAGGAAATGCAGCCTCTTGGAAATCTCCTGCCTGGTCTACGTAGAGATGGATGCCTGCATGTATGTGTGTAGTATTCCTGCAAAGAAGCATTCTCCTACACATATGCAGACATGTTATTTATATAAGGAGATACTACAAGTAGAGTGTGTATTTCCCATTATCTTATTGATAGCTTCTCTCCCTGGACCATGTTCTTGCTGAAATGGACCGGCCTTACTCTTCAAGCAGCAAAAGAGATCTGGGCCATCTTTTCTAGGGAAAAACCCAGAGTCCAGAGACCAGAGATGGGCACCCAGCAAAGGACTCTGCTGATGGTTCTGCACTCTGTCTCCCAAATGCCAAATGAAATCGCCAGCTTCCTGGATCTCATCTTGATGGGGGGGGGGGGCAGGGGAACCAGGAAGCACCAGAAAAAACGCAAACTTGAGGCTGTAGTTTAAAACATCCAAATGCCCTTCATTCTGCTCCCACCTCTGCACCTGAAGCCTCCAAGTCAAATTATTGAAAGGCTTTTCACATCTAACTCTGTCTTGTTTATTTTCTTATTAGGTTTGTTGGGTTTTGGAGGAAAGGAAGAAATTACAAATGGTGAAGTCTGGCCGAAAGCCCTCTTGCCTCTGGCCAGGTGGAGACATCAAAATGGGAGAGGGGAGGCAAGAAGGGCAGAGGCAAAGAGCGGACTGAGAGGGATTAATTGGGGTGGGAGGACTTAGATTGTTGGGGGGAGGGCAGGAGAGAAAATGGAGCCTACCAGAAAGGGGGCAGTTTGAGTCAGGAGGTGGACTTATTAACCTTGACTTTGCTTTTGGTGGGGCTAGGACAGCTTTTCCTACCCTACATATCTACACCCCAACCAAGCTCAGGGTCTGAGGAAAGGGTATAAAATTAAACTTTCATGTTGCACAAATGCCACCATGAAGGCTTTGTGGGTGTGGGTGCCTCACTCTCCCCCTCACGCTCAATCCTGAACACACCTGATCTTCTGGCCAGGGTCTCCATGAGGTAATTTGTCAAGGCCACCTTTGCAGAGGAGAACTGAGGGGGGAGGGAGGCTTAGCCCTTGCCCCCCAAAAGAGAGAGTGTGTGAGTGTGCGCAGGCATGTGTGAGTGTGTGCGGAGCATGTGAGAGGGGTGTGTGTGAGTGTGACACAGGTCGCCAGGCATGCGTGTGCCGCATCCATATACAAAGCACCACAAGATCCAGGCTGCTCAGCTCTAACAAGTCCATCCGCCTCAACACCCAGGCAGCCCCTCTTATATACAGCGCCCAGGAGCCAGTGCCTTGGGGAGCAGCGTTATTCCTCCCCTCCCAGTTGGGCCTTCCTGATGCTTTTGGCTCCAACTTTTCGGGGAGAGTAAGTCTCCTCAGCCTCACTCCACTGCTCCCGTTTCCTCCACATTCTTTCCCCAGGTGTCAGAGAAAGGTCCCGAAGGCCTCCAGTTCCTGCAGCAAAAATGAATCTTGAACCCTGAGCTTGAACTCTGACTAAGCTTTCTCGCAAACCAAAATCACAATGCAAAGCAACTAAAGCCACACTTCCTTGCCATTCACACAGAAATTTCCCAACCACTCATTTGTAAGCAGCTATCAGAAACCAACGAAAAAAAATTTAACCAGAGAAAAGGAAAAGAAAAAAAATTAAAAGGGGGACAAAAAACTTACAACAGTCCAAATGCCCCTTTCCAACGCCATACCCAGGCTAGGCGTCTGGGGGAGGGAGGGACGCGGCGGGCAGCCTTTCACCTCCACCTCTTCCGCTCCAGCCCCGCTGCCCTAGGCCCCGGCCCGGCCCCAAACCGCAGGAGCCCAAACCACACGCACAGATGAGACACACAAACAACAAATCGCGCTTCACAGGACACAATTTTCAACTGGAAAAACACAGTATAAAGCGAAATCTCCTTTCTCCCCAGTCTTCCTTAGTCCCTGACCCAAGATCTCCATTTTAAGCTTTTTGCAAGCTTCTGACCTGAGCGGGGGACATCAGCCCCCACCAGGACAACAGCGTAGAGCAAGCAAACCAAACCCAGCACAGGCCTGGGAGTGGTCATCCGGCCTGGGCAGCTGCAGGCGGTCCGCG